ATCCTGCCTCACCCTCCAAGTACTGGAATTATAGGTGTGTGTCTCCATGCCCAGCTTGACCCATTTTTTCTTTTCTTTTCTTTTTTTTTTTTTTTTTTTTTTGAGGAACTGGGGATTGAACTCAGACCCTTGTGCTTGCCAGGCAAACACTTATTCTACTGAGCCATCTTCCCACCCCCCAGATTGACCCTTTGTTTTTGTAAATAATGTTGGAATCAGGGCTAAGGATCCAGCTCAGGCCAGTGGGCAGGATCATACAAGTGCATGGATCCTGCCTTTATTTAAAATGTTGAAACCAGGCGAGGGGGCAGTGCCCACCCATCCTATCATCCCAGCACTGTAGGAGGCTGAGGCAGGAGGATAGCAAGTTTGGTCCCAGCCTGGGGAACTTTGACTGTAGTAGAGCTTGTCTTAAAATACAAAATAAAAAGCATTGGCAATAGGTCAGTGTGAAGGCCCCAGGTCAGAAATCACCTGGCAAAGGTGCTGATTATGAAGCATGAGGGTGGGGGCAGAACCCCCCGAAGTACGTCCATGTCAGGAGCTGGGGGATGGAGGTGGGTCCGGGTCAATCTGCTCCAGCTGGGAGCAGCGACAGCGGCCAGGATGTTCGGGCCCCAGCGCAGGCCTTGTAGAAAGTGCTGCCTGATGCTGTGTTTTGGAGGACCCCAGACTCCCTTCCCAGGAATTTCTTCTTGGGGCTCACTCCAGCTGTTCCCTGGCATCCTGCAGAGGGGGTATCACCACTTGGCTAGGGTCTTCCTTCGCATAATCAGCCCACAATACGACAGAATTCAGGAAGTCTTGTCCCTGTAGCACTTCGAATCAGGAACTCAGAGGCGCTGGACTGGGAATGGCAGCTTTTCTGGGTGAGGAAACGGAGGCATGTGAGGCAACCGTTTCCTTGAACAGAAATCTCACATACTGAAGAGGTTGAGGCAGGAGGATCATTTTGATTTTGAAGCCAGTGAGTTAAAGGCCAGTCTGGGGCCAACGAGGTAGCTCAGAGGACTAAGCACCTGATGGGGATTGAACTCAGGCCCTTGCACTTACCAGGGAAGCGCTTATTCTACTGAGCTATCTTCCTGGCCCCAGCACCTGCTTAGGCAGGTGTAAGGATTCAATCCCAGACACCACATGCCATGCTGGCCCCACCCCCTGGGCACACTGAGTTGGCCACCAAGACTGGATGTGGTGGTGCACACCTGTAATCCCAGCATTGGGAAGGCTGAAAACAGGAGGATCATTAGGAGTCCAAGCTGCGTAGTGAGAGCCCATACCAAATACATAAAATAAAGGCCAGCTTGACTAAAAAAAAAAAAAAATGAGTACAGGCATCTTCCTGTGTCTTGTGTGGGTGGGGTGGAGCCTGAACACCAGAGTCCTGTCATTGTTCTGTGCGTCAGTTTACTTATCTGTCAAATGGGGATTAGATAATGAAGCTTTAAAAATTTCTTTTACAGTATTGGGGATTAAACCTTGTGTCTCTGCACTGAGTTACACCCTCAGCCTCTTTATTTATTTATTTTTCTTTTTCTTTCTTTCTTTCTTTTTTTTAATTTTACTTGGGATCAAACTCTGGACCTTGCACTTGCCAGGCAGGTTCTAAAACTGGTGAGCTATATCCCCAGTCCCCTCAGCTTGCTTGCTTTCTTTCTCTTTCTTTCTTTCTTTTTTTCTTTCTTTCTTTCTTTCTTTCTTTCTTTCTTTCTTTCTTTCTTTCTTTCT